CTGGGGACCTTACCCAGGGTTTGAAGCCCACCGCTGCACAGTCTCTTCATCATCACCATCACACAAATCAGCAAAAGTAGCTTCTAAGTCCTCTAATTGATGAATTCGAGTATCAACAATATCTACCAAATCTTCCTTTAAATACATTGAAAAGCTGAAATTACACAGTTGTTCTTTCAAAAAACAAGCAAAATCCCCATATGATAAAAATCTCAGGTCAATTAGTTAAAACATAATTTTCAAGTACTAACCACGGGCTTCACCAATAAACACACAGAATTTGAATTGTCCTTAGGCATCATTTTAACAAGTTAAAAGTTATGTGATAACTGGATAAAAGAAACAAAGGGAGGATACCTCTGTTAGGTTGGTGCCAGGCTTTTTAAACTGGTATAGCTCTTGTAAGATTTTATACTCCTCCTGGAAAACAAAACAAAAAGTTCACATGCCAGAAAAAAGTTGTTGTTTTCAATGACATGCTTTAAGTGAAAGATAGCTTTGCCTGTGATACAAGGAGAATATCTTAGATAATTATGTAAAGGTTTGTCTAGGAGATCCAGGCAAAATGTATACTTTTATGCCTCTGCAAATGGTATTCATAGGGTAACTCCATCTACCTGGGCATGGCATTAATGTATAAAAATTAGCTATGGATAATGACTAGGTGGCTAAGGGGTCATGAGATTAAAATGTTTCTAATAATATTCTACTATATAAATGGATATATCCTAGGATCTAAACAGATTTTAGCTGCTTACGGGAAATTACATTTCTTTAATAATGACAAAGAAAAAAGAAACCCTCTCTGCATTCACTTGCCAGCCACTTTTCTAGCAAAAGAAGAGAGCTCTGGCATATGAAGGCAATACTGGAGGCAGCCGGGGAAAGACACAGAACCTCAGGCAGGAGGCTCCATGTAGAAGAAACATGCCTGCTATAGACTGACTTAGTAGAAGTCGCCCCTTACTTAGCACAGGTGGAAGGAGCCATTATATATATTGGGTACACCTGTCCTCCGTAATCTTAGTTAAGAGTATTGTCAGGTAGATTTATACTCAGGAGCTAAAATTCATTAAGCACACTGTTGTGGCATTATCCTCACTGCTTACTCATCATGACAATCCTATGAATTGGGTGTGATTACTGCTCTGATTTCATAAGTGAAGAAAGTGTGGGTCAGAAAGGTTAAGCAACTTTGCCGAGATCGTACAGCTAATAAGTAGTACAAGCAACAAACAGAACTGAACTCTAACTTCTCAGCATGCCCATAAAAAAGGGTAAACAACTGACTGTCTTTCCTTAGGATATTAAAAAATAGCTATCAAATTATAAAGTCTACATAAGCTCTTTTCGAAAAGTCCATAGTACCTAAAGGTATAAAGGATACAGAAATCTCTACTTTCCCAGGTTTCTGGAGAGCACTCAAAAATAAGGTGACCAGATGTCCAGCTTTTGGTGGGACAGTCCTGATTTTTAACAATTTGTCCTGCATCCTGTGGTATTTTAAAAATGTCCCGATTTTTGGAAAGAATGCACAACAAGCTAAGGAATGGGTGTGGGGGGGGCGCAACAGGAAGGGAATATACATTTTTCGGCTGCTAAAAGGTTAATGTAACTCCATTTGGGAAGGAAGAGGTTAATGTAACTTCATTTGGAAATGAAAAGGCTAATGTAAACTCCCTACTCCCCTCCTGGGCAAGGTCACCCAGGTGAAGGTGCCCTACTCCTTTGAGCCACAGGCGCTGCCCTATACATAATTTTTTTTTAATGTATTATATTTTAAAATTGTACTTATGTTGAAATTAAAAAAATATATATTACAATGCTATTTTTACATTCTATGAAAATTTTCGTTGCTCCATATAAACCAAATTTTTAATCAAGACCTCCCCTTGCCCCCCCCCACCATGATGTCCCGCTTTACCAATGTTAAAATATGGTCACCTTACTCAAAAAGGAATAAAAGCCATTGAGTTTCTAATGGAACCTTTTAAAAGTTTTCATTACAAATATTCAGGTGAGTATATTTGCAGGATAAATTCCTAAAGTTGGGTCTTTTAGCTTCCAGGAATGGCCATTCTTCAAGTTAAAAAAATATTTCTAAGGTGGTTTAATTATTCCGAGAGCTGCCCATGTACAATAGCAGAGAAGTAGAGGGGAAAATTTTCCCTTTACTGCAAGTTGGGAGAGCTCTCCAGGTCTGTCTTCTTGAGCCAGGTTACACTAATTCCTAAAACTTACCTCTTTTGAATCAATATCTATTAGACATCTTTGATAATTTAGATAAATCACAATGGCTCCTGATATGTATACAGAATAAGGACTGCTGTGTCATTGTCATGATTATAAATCAAATACTGCACTTGGGTCAAAAAAGACTGTTAATGTGAATCCCCAAAATGAACAATCTCCAAAATGGTAAGTAAACAGTTACATGTTCCCATAAAATGAATCTAGGAATATTCACTTGGATCATGAAGTTACCAAATAAAGTTTGCTAAATGCATATTTCTATTTCAGCTCTCTGCCTATTAATATAACCTAGTGACTTTTACTTAAGATCCCAGGCCCAAAGCATTAACTACATAGAGTGACGTGTGATCAGGCAACTCATAGTTTAGGAAAAATCTGTCCCAGGTTTTACATATAGAATATCTTCAGAAAGATACACGAGAAACCAACCTCAGCATTTGTTTCTGAAGCAAAGAACTGAGGGAATGTGGATGGGTAAGAGAGTCACATTTTTCAATGTACAGATGTCCCTCAGTATCCATGTGGGAATGGTTCCAGAACCTCGGAACGGTTTGCAAATAGTTGGTACACTGTACTGTTTAGGGAATCATGATGTCTCCCCTCCCCCACATATACACACCAAAAAAAGGCTGTACATATTCACTACAGATGTAATTTGCTTTTCCCCTGAATATTTTCAGGCTGAGGTTGGTGGAATACATGGATGAGAAACCCATGGATACAGAGGGCAAACTGTATACTCTTTCTTGTACTGTATAATTTTATCTTTTACAAAAACCTATGTTATTACTTTAATTAATAATAATAATGCAAAATAATGAATACTATCTGGAGTAGGAATTGGCAGCCAAAAGCCTACTGCCTATATTTGTATGGTTCTCAAGTTGAGAATGGCATACACAATTTTCAAAAGTTTAAAAAACAACAAGGGGGTGTATACCATACCTTTTGGGTGCAGGACACGATTATAAGAGGGACTCTACCTAACAAATTCAAATATTGTGATCTCGGTGTTTGTACCCTCATATTAACCTGAAATTAAAAGAAAAAAATAAAACAACAAGGAATATATAACAGAGAATGTGGCCCCCCAAAGCCTAAAATAACTATCTGGCAAACTTGCTGATTCCTCATCTAGAGAAATGTCATACAATTCTCGTTGTAAAAATACCATATTTACCTGAGTAAACATTTCCTTAAAGGGATTTTTGACTGAAAAAAAATCCAAGTCAATATCTAAAACAAACGCATCCCCAGTCTTCAAAATTTCCAGAATTTCTCCGGTGCTGGCTGTAGTCTGGCATTCCTGACTAGCAGAAGAACATGACGGCTCTAGGCAAGTTTGGCCGCTTGGCTGTGGCACTATGTCCACTCCCAGTCCCTCTGAACAGGAGTCAGAGTTAGTAGATGCAGTGTGTCCTGAACTTTCCAGGGTTAACTTTGGTTTCTTAGCAGAAGATGCTGCATCAACTTCTTCTTGATTATTACAGAGTTCGTAAGACTTTACTGTAATCACATCCAATTGTAAAGGTTTTTGATTCTCCAGTTGGTCTTCAGGTACATAAAGACCATCGCTTAGGAAGTAATAATCTGTACTTGTAACCCTGCATCAGAGGAAAAAGCAATTTTAAAGAAGAATAGACAAATTAGCTGATGTTTCACTATGGCATGGCAGAAAGAAAGGCCATATCTGACAAAACCTGTCGTAACTGACACTGTGCTTTGATAAGCACTTTGAACAGTGAAGTCAAAATTTTTCTAGAAGCATGCTCTATCCAACTAAAATAATTGATTTCCCACCTGCCCTCCCTCAGTATATAGAGCTGTAAATTTAAAAAGATATTTTCTCAAAAAAGATGAATGACATAATAAAACCAATGTCCAAACTTATTAAAAGCTGTACCATCCTAACATGGTACAGGATATATCCCCCAACCTAAATTTATATTCTTTTTAATAATGAATGTTTTACTTTGTATTTTACAAATGCACATAGATGTCTCAGGTGGCATACCTACATGTATGTGTCTTTTGTCTAAAAATTATTATTTGCAGGAATAACCAAAAGCATTGGGTAATCAAATCTTCCAGATATTGTTATCATATGCGGTGTTTCAAATGTCTGTGTCAGTTGCTCAAAATTATTTGATTTTGCAGGTTAAATTAGCCCTCCTCACTGATGTACTCAATAAAAATCCTACTACTCATTCATACATGCCAGGAATGTGGACAACATTTACATCTGGAGTCCTTTTCATTTCTTTTGAATGATAGCCTAAGTGAGTACAATTTTCATGTAGTATTACAACAAAGGTATTTATACCAATGGTAAGAAAACATACTACAAAAGTTAATTGTATCATTAAGAATAAATCAGAAATTGAAAGTATCATTTTCTTTCTTTTTTTTTGGAGACAGGAGCCTCAAGCTGTCACCCTGGGTATAGTGCTGTGGCATTTCAGCTCAAAGCAACCTCCAACTCCCGGGCTCAAGCGAGTCTCCCGCCTCAGCCTCCCTAGCAGCTGGGACCACAGGCACCCACCACAACACCCGGCTATCCCTTGGTTGCAGCCGTCATTGTTGCTTGGCGGGCCCAGGCTGGATTCGAACCCGCCACCTTGGGTGTACGTGGCTGGTGCCCTAGCCACCTGAGCCACAGGCGCCCAGCCGAAAGTATCATTTTCAATGAGAAAGACTGTACCTCATTTTCAGTGCATTCCCATTTCATCCCATTACCCATCAGGTTCTAGAAAGTTATGATTACACTGCTTGAAATATTTATACTATCACAGAGAGTTTAAAGTCAAGAACATATTGATACTTCAAAAGGTAATATAGCATCATAAGATACACAGAATGTTGCAACCCGTCGGGCTCCTATGGCCCTGGTCTCGGTTAGCGCAGGAAGGAACCAGGCGAAAGGCGGATTAGAAGTACAAGCTTGTGGAAGGCGGGCTAGCCCTTACTTTCCGGGTAGCCCTGGGCAACCTCCCCACCAGCCTTTTATTGAAACGGAATGATACAGGTGAGGGGAGTAATTAACAATGACTACGTGCTGAGGGCATGGGCTCCTTCTCCATAAGGTGCACCTGTGGACAAGTCGCTTGAGCGTCCACCCCTCAGCTGTAAATCATCTTGCTTAGAGGTCATTTGTCTCTCGGCATCCTCTACACAGAATACCGGCTGAATAGGTTATACAAAAAATTATTGCATATTAACTTAATTCAAAGGATGCCATAATTTAAATTAATTATCTAAAGCTAATTTATATTAAAAAAATGAAAACCTCAAATCTACTAAATCAGCGATTGGATTTATTAAAAAAAGCCAAAGTGAGATAATTTTGCTCTTCCACTGTTGTTCAGCAGACAATAGTTGCATTGGAAGGACATAGTGAAATGTACTATTGAATGTATAAATCTATAAAGTACCTCAATAATTTTTTTTTTTTTTTTTTTTTGCAGTTTTTGGCCAGGGCTCGAACCCACAGCCTCCAGCATATGGGGCTGGTGCACTACTCCTTTGAGCCAGAGGCACCGCCCAATAACTTCAATAATTTAATGACAACAGCCATTGACGCAGCCTAAATTCCACAAGATGAAAATTATATTATTCAAAATCCAGTTTTGCTAGCACAAAATTTAAATGGTACATGAATGATGTCAAGAGACTTGCAGACCTGTTTCTGGTGTTTTGAGAGTTCATTGTGGAGGAGCTGAAGCTTAGTCTGACCCTATTTGTGGGCAGAGATACTTAGGAAGTTATCACAGGGATCCAAAATAAGATAGAAGCATCTACCCCTCTTTATATTCCTAAATATAACAAAATTACCTGATTGTTGTGGTAGAAGTGTCTTTGCCTACCAAAAAGTGGTGTTTGCCCTCTCTGATTTGCTGAGCCCATGTGGGATGCAGCCATATTACATGGGAAAAATGGCCAGCGTAAACTGCAGGCATAATCCAATTTTCAATGCTCAATTCTCTGGCAAAGAAATAGAAAACATTAAAATGGTCAGTACTTTTCCCCCAATACAATTTCATTCACACATTTTAAGACAGCAGGTCTCAGTGTGGCTTCTGGGGTCATTTCTGAGACTTTTTTCAGGGTTACCACTAGTATTTTAAAGAAAATAGTTTTGCTATAATGTATTATTTCCCCTTTTCATTTTTTGACATTTATAATGGATGCACGATCAATGGTGAATTGATGTCTTGAGCTCAAACAAGGCAGCTAGATTAGTACTCATTGTATTCTTCACCATCAAGCACTAGCAAGGAAAAAAGCCTCTTTTAAAAATATCCTTGATTTTATTAAAAATGATCCTGAGTATACATTTTAAAATATTCTGTGTGGCAAAATGATCAGTGCATAGAAAGCACTTCTGCTACATATTTTGAAGTGTAATAGCTGTCTCAAGGAAAAGCACTTGGGATTAAATTGTAAGCTAAATATTTTTCTTGAAAGAAGAGACCAAGTGACACTTGAGACTGAATTGTTAGATTCTACATTTTCTTTACTTATTTATTTCTTAATTTTGTTTTTAGTGACAGGGTCTTGCTCTGCTGAGTACAATGAGTACAATCATAGCTCCCTGCAGTCTCAAGTCCTGTGCTCAAGTGATCCCGCTGCCCCAGCCTCCCATAGTCCACCATGTGGTCCACTATGCCTGTTAGTTTTTTATAGAGACAAAGTTTTATTATGTTGCCCAAGCTAGTCTAGAACTTCTGGCCTTAAGTGGCCTCAGCTTTCCAAAGTGCTGGGATTACAGGCATGAGATACTGGGCTCAGGTAAGAGTCTACATTTCAAATTACTTTTAAGAAACCATCACTTGTCAAGTTTGGTGTAGTATCAAAGAATATTCCCAATTACATGAAATGGTTATGAAAATATTCTTTCCTTTTACAATTACATGTCTATGAGACCCTGAATTTTTATCATACACTTCAATGACAGCAACATGGCAACAGACTGAATGCTGGAACAGATATGAGAATCTAGAGGTCTACCATAAAGGCAAATATTAAAAGAGATCTGTGAAAATTTGAACAGTGCCTCTCTTCTCAGTAAATATTTTGTTTTAGAAAATATATTTATCCTTATAATCATTTTATCATAAGGACAAGTGCACTAGATTGTTTAGCACAGCTCAATTTATAATCAGCAAGATGTGGAGACAACCTAAATGGCCACCAACCCAGGAATGGACTAAAAAACTGTGGTATATGTCTACTATGGAATACTATTCAGTTATAAAAAGATGGAAATGTCACATCTTTTTAATTAACCTGGATGGAGTTGAAACACATTCTTCTTAGTAAAGTATCACAAGAATAGAAAAGCAAGTATCCAATGTACTCAATACTAATATGAAGCCAGTAGATGATCTAATACTCACTCACATAAGAGAAAAACTCAATTCAATTCAAGTTGGGGGAGGAGGATGTAGTGGGGAGAGAGGAGAAGAGGGAGGGAGATTGGTGAGCTCCTACTTAATGGGCACAATGTAAGGACATATGGCACCCCTCTTGGGTTGTGGGACACAACTAACAAGAGGGCAACATTGCAACTACCTAACAATGCAAACATTGTGACTTAGTTGTTTGTGCCCTCACATTTATCTGAAATTAAAAAAAAATATCTTATACTAACACATGATTTGTAATTATTATTTGAAAATAACTATCAAAAAATTTCTCAGTTTTAATTTTAAATATGATAACTGTCAATTGATATAACCCACAAGTAATATTCTGAAGTTTAAAAAAAAAGCCCAATAGGTCAGGTGGTGGCTCAGGCCTATAATCCTAGAACTTTGGGAGGTCAAGGCAGTAGGATTGAGACCAGCCTGAACCAAAGTGAAAACTTTTCTCTACAAAAAATAGGAATTTAGGCTCGGCACCTGTAGCTCAGTTAGTAGGGCGCTGGCCACATACATTGAGGCTGGCAGGTTTAAGCCTGGCCTCGGCCTGCTAAAGAACAGTGACAACTGTAACCAAAAAAACAGCCAGGTGTTGTGGTGGGTACCTGTAGTCCCATCTACTCGGGAGGCTGAGGCAAGAGAATCGCTTAAGCCCATGAGTTTGAGGTTGCTGTGAGCTGTGACGCCACGGCATTCTATCAAGGGTGACATAGTAAGACTCTGTCTTAAAAAAAAAAAAAGAAAAGAAAAGAAAAAGAAAAAGGAATATAAGTTTGGTGACATGTGCCTGGAGTCCCAGCTATTTGCAAGGAGGATAGCTTGAGCCCAGGAGTTTCAGGCTATTGCAAGCTATGACAAGGCCACTGCACTTTAGTCTGGGTGACAGTGTGAGACCCTGTCAAAACAAAAACAACAACAGAAAAAAACACCCAAAACAAACAAATCAAAACAAACTCAATGATTTTTAAGTGTACAAAAGAATCCTGATACTAAAAAGTTTAAGAAATGTTATTCTAAGACTAATTATATAATCTGTGTACCTGCTTCATAATTCTTTCAATTTCTAAAACATACAACCTCTAAATGTATGAGAGAATAAGGACAATAGTAGAATCACTGTATTTTTATAGGAGTTAGGGCCCTGAAGGAGGATTTGGAAAATGTAAACTAAAAGAAACATAGTAGGCTAACATTAATCCATTTGGATATACATTGTATCTTTCAATGTTACTATAGAGGAAAATTGCTGTTATGTAACTTTTTATATAATATTATACAAGCAGGCTACATTCTATATACACATATGAAGAGACAGTAACAGATTTCAGGGAACTTTGTTACAGAAGAGAAGCTAGTGATTCTTTACATAGAGATGCATTAGGTATGATCTTTCTGAAGGTTGAAGTACAAATTACCGATTTCACTTCCATCTCTATGGTTCCATAAAACTGAAAGACAACAGGATTTGTGACTTGAAAATAAACAAATTGAGAGGTAGGATAGACGCCATACTGGAAGGAAGGATATACAAATTAAAGATGTGTTTTCTATATGATTACTGAACTGTACTTAGATTAAGAGATATTCTCTTGTTTCTCAGTATGTAGGCTTTTAAAGAGAAGAAAGGAGAACTGGATCAGATAACTTCTAAAATCCCCTTCTACTTCTACAGTTCTACATTCTAAGTCAGAGGTTGGCAAAAACTGGCTGAGCTGTTTTGTAAATAAAGTTTTATATATTTTTTTCACAGAAGGGGTCTTGCTATGTTGCCCAGACTAGAGTGCAGTGGATATTCACAGGCACAAACATAGCACCAACTCCTGGCCTAAAGTGATCCTACCCCCTTAGTCTTCTGAGTAGCTGGGACTACAAGTGCACACCTCTACACTTGGCTTGTAAGTAAATAAAGTTTTATTGGCACACAGTTAGTGCCATTTGTTTACATAGCACCTATGATTGCTTTCACAAGAGCAGAGATAAGTATTAATAGTTGCAACAGAGACTATATGGCTAGAAAACCTGAAATATTTACTGTTTGGCTCTTTAAGAAAAAGTTTGTCAACATTTGTTCTAAATAAATAAAAAAGACAAACAGACAAAAAAAAAAAAAACCTCCATGAGTCTATCAGCAAAGTCTATTTCCCATAATTGCTTATAATCTACTGCAAATTGTATTTCAAATACATAAAAAGTTATTAACAAAATCACATATTACCCAAAGAGTGTTTCCTTATCAAAAACGGTGTCTGCTGGCATGTTCACAGGAATAAGAAGATCTGGATGTGAGTCCAAATGTAAAAATCTTATATTACTGGCAGGAAGATGCTTGGAGCCTATGGCTCGGTATATAAAAGGTAGAACCTGTAAAAGACACATACAACATGCACACAGTCAGACTGCCATTGAAATCACCAGCACAAACTCTACTGCAGGCTGAAGAACAAGGCTAAACACAGCTGCACATGATTTGAAGCATCTAACTTACTAAAAAGCGGAAAAAGATGAAATATGTTTAATGTAGATAGCTCAGATAATGACTTCAATCATTAGTTTCTCCTCAGAACTTCCAACTTGCCCCTCCAGCTGTCTTTTGTTTGTTTTAAACAAAACTTTGTCGCCCTCGGTAGAGAGCTGTGGCATCACAGCTCACAGCAATCTCTAGCTCTTGGGCTTAGGTGATTCTCTTGCCTCAGCCTCCTGAGTAGCTGGGACTACAGGCGCCCGCCACAACGCCCAGCTATTTTTTGTTGTAGTTTGGCCGGGGCTGGGTTTGAACCCGCCACCCGCGGTATATGGGGCTGGCACAGGTGCCGCCCTCACCTGCCTTCTTATCCCCATCTCAAACACAACTGGTAAACAGATCAGGAGTGGGGCTCAGGGACAAACTGCTGGTTAACTCCTAGGTCAGCAGTAACTGTGTGTTCAAGGTCATTTGGTACCTTAAGGATGGCGGGCCTGGGTCAGGTGGTCTGTCAGACTCTTTCTCCTCTAACACTCTCTACAGTTTTGGATTGAACACTGAATTTGAAAGCACTGCCTCGCCCACGCTTGCTCCTTCTCTCTAGCTCAATGACACTATGTTCACAACCTGAGAAATCCATTTCTTCCTCTCCACTTAATTTTCTCTATTGGCAAATCTTTCTTCTTTTGTATCAAGATAGCCCCTGGTACTTTAAAATAAATTTCTTAGATCCATGGACTTTCTTTGTTGATTTCCAAAAGCCCAGACTAAATCACAATTTTGCTACTATACTGTAGCTGGGAAAATGGAAAGAACTTTTAGTATCTAGATATGCTGGGGCACCGTGTTAAAAGACTTTATGACACAATCTACACACACAAATACTCCTAAAGGCCCCATGAGTTCTCTGATTACTGTCCCCATTTCACAGATGAGAGCCCAGGTGGAAAACCTTAGTTTGCCACTTAAACATCAGGGCTGTGATGGAGATACCATGAGACATTTGGAAGCTAGTGTTTACTGCAGGTTAAGGGGCCCTGCAGTCAGACTGCTCACGTTTGAATCTCGACACCATCAGTTGTGGGATTTGGGTGCACCGTGTCAAGTGAATTGCCCGACGCACAGTCAGCGTCCCATAAACGTCAGCTGCTAATCTTTCAAGCTGTCTGCAGGGGAACTCGGGCAGTTAACCAATTGTGGCGATCTTGCTCGCCGCTGCCGCTAGGGCTGCACGGTCTCCTGAAGCTTGGTCCTCGAGCATCAGCACTGGGTCTGTCCCAGCGCAGCGGCCTTCCGCTCACCTCCTGATGATCCTCCACCACCCACACCGGGAGCTCGGGGTAGCGCCGGAGACCAGCGCCCTCTCCCGCGGAGTCGCTCATGCTTCGGGCCCAGCAGCGCTGCAGCGAGTCAGAGGCTCAGAGAACCACTGACTGAGTCCGGCTGCCCTCTTCGGACGGAAATGTGGGCTCACCCGGTTGCGCTTCCGGATTGGAGGACGAGAGGCTGGGGGTGGGCCCCGGAGAGCCGGCCGCGGACGATTGGTCGAGATGTCCATCGCTCTCGTTGACGCGCCAATCCCTGCACAAAAGGCGCCGCGGCCAGCGGGAAAGTTCTCCCTCCCTCGCGCCTGCTTTCGCAGGTTTGCTTTTTAATTTTCTGGGTTTCCTGTTCCGGAGGCGTGGGCGGCGCCACAGACTTGGCGGCTGTCGAGTTAGCCTGGCTTACCTCTGACGGCAACCGCGCTGCCCGGGAGCCCTCGATAGGTAAAAGGGGGCACCTGGCTGGGGTTGGAGGGGGAGTGTTTCCGAGTGTCGGGATTTAAAAGGGGCTGGAGTCTGGGGCTGGGTGAAAAGGTACTGAGAGTTGGGGTCGGGCAGCCCCTCTTCGGATCTGCTGCTAAGGGCCAAAGAGAGACCCTAGGCCCGGATCCCGCAGATAACTAGTAACGAAAGAGGAGATCTTTCATTCATTTGTGGGATGAGCGCTGTGGTCCAGGCCTGGGGCCGCTGGGGTCTCGCAGGGAAGCGAGACCGCGAGCCAAACAATTGTCTCATGGGGCACAGGCTGGCGGGAGAAGCAAACAGGTGAACACACAATTAGGGATGTGCCAGACGAAGGTGACTGGCCTGCAGATTCATCTGGGAGAAAGGCAGAGTGCGCAGTAAAAATGTAGTCACACTTTGCAACTCCTTTACATGAACTGACGTTCCCGGGCGTGTTAACTATTCAAACAGCAACTTAGGAGTGGGCAGACTCAGAAACAGTTACTTCTAGAGTTGCAGCAAATCCTTCGACTTCTGAATTAAAGTCTGCATCCACAGCACAGCCTGACCATGCCTATATAATAGGTCAATTTTGTGATCAGTCTTCGTACATTGTATAGCTATGGAAGCATTCATGAGGATCGGGTAGTGATTGTTTAACTTATCACACTTACTGTACAACAGTGTTAATGACCCTCACCTGTTGCCACCTCTAGGTTCAGCACACTTCTTGTACTAGATCCTGCACAGAATCTCTTTCCTTCGTTTTATCGCCTTAAATTGTATTTTTTAAAAACCTACTTGTGTGTTAGGTTCTGCTTACCTGAATCCTGCAGGCTGTGTGCTTTACCTGTCTTTGAATCCACAGGGCCAGGGACAGTGCTTTATGTATGGGCTCATTAAATGCTGCACGAATGGGTGAAAAGTTCTGTCTTCTGGGTAGTCTTCTTAATGCACATCTATTGTGGATATTCATGGAAGGGATATGTACAGTCGCAACATAGAAACATATACCATTGGTGAGACAGTAAATATTTATTCATCACCTACTGTGTGCAGGATGCTCTCCCAGGGGTTGTGAAGGATACAGAAATGACTGTGGATTAACCCATGTCATCAAGGAGCTAATTATCTAGCGAAGGAATTAGACATGTGCACACATGGCCATAATATGAGGCAGTCTCTGGTAAGTGCTGTAAAAGTAAGTATAGACTAAGCTTAGAGTGAAGGGGTGATTAGAGTGATTACCTCTTAAGGGGAATCAGGAGAGGCTTCACAGAAGGAGTGATTCAGGAATCAGGAGAGGCTTCAGAAGGGGTGATTAGAGTGATTACCTCTCAGAGGGAATCAGGAGAGGCTTCACAGAGGAGGTGGCGTTTGAGATCCTGGATGGGTAGCAGTTCACTGAGGAGGAGATTTTAGAGAGAGAAGCAGGAGCAAAGAACAAGCTGAGTGATAGAACTTGGCATGTGCTGGGATAGTAGGGAAAGTAATGGGGAACAAGCCTGAAGGAGATGTCAGGTCCAGAGCCTAAATTCTTAAATGCTAAGGATGGAGTTCAACTTGATTCTAACAGCAGTGAGTAGCCTATGGTAGCAAGATCAGCTGTCTGGGCCCCAGCTTTATCACAAAGGCACTGGACTGAATAATGAATTAGGTATTGTTTGGTATCTCTTGTTACCATGATTGATATGTAATCTGAAAATTATTTCCATGAGCCATTTGAAAGTCTGCTTAGGCCTAGACCTTAGGAAGATGTTTTACTTTAAAACTTTTTGAATAGAATATTTGACTTTTTAAAAATATTTTGCTGAAGTTCAAGTATTTGTAAAGTTATTTGTGTTCACAATGTCTTTTTATGGGAAGAGCCAAGAATGAAAATGAAGAATCATAATGGTTATGTTAACAAGATTAGGGTTATGTTTGAATTTGAATGCTAGTCTCACTTTGATTTTTGTATTTGATCTATTCCTACATGTTTTTATAATGAAGGAAATGAGGAAGAAGGGAGAGAAGTGATTTTTACCCCACTCTTTCAGCAAAGTAGAGATAGGATATGCCTATTTTTTCAGTCTTTAGCTCATGATAGTTTTGAGTCAGACAGACAAGTAGTGAGGAAATCTTAAAATTTAGTTGGAAACTTTAATGCAGTTCAGAATGTTCTTAATTTTGTTAGTAGGTTAAGTGCATCGGAGAATGAAGAATCAGTGTTAGGATAATTGCAGAAATATTTTAAAGCATCTGACGTTTGGGAAACATGTTTATGTCTATTTTATTCTTTGTTTTTTTAGAGGTTATAGTCTCTGCGGAAGATGTGACATATCCAGACAATACATCATGATGCAAGGCAGTACATGGTGGGTGATGTGATGGGAATGGCCTAGTTTGGGGGAACAGAGAGAGCAGTAAACACTGGTGAGAGACCACGACAGGGGATAGGAAGGATTTAGGTATGTGGGGAGAGGGGAAAATGTGCGGATTCTTTTAGCAGTGAGCACAACACAACAGAGGATTGTACACAGGGCCAGGAACCAAGACCGGAACAGTTATTGAAACATCCCAGAGCCCCGTCTGATGGAGCCTACAGCTCTCAGGTGCAAGTAGAAATGAAAGGTGGAATTATATAATTAATTGGCGCATTGTAATTATTGTAGGAGCTGCTAAGAAACAGTATAGTGTTGTGAGAACACGGAACCTAACAAAGCCCTGGGGCAGTGATAGTGTTTGTAGAAAGGCCAGCAAGAGGTGACAGTACGAAGTGGATGAATTCTAGAAGTATTTGGGCAGCAGAAATGATAGGAATCTTAATTTTTAAAACTGCTTTTATTAAATGATAGGAATTCTAAAATAAATTTTTAGCGAAGGGAGGTGAGGAAGGAAAAGTGGTCAGATGGTTATCTTTTATACGTCTTGAGAACCATTAATGGCGTCGTTTGTTGAGAGAGGAAACACTAAGAAAGGAGCAAGTATTTGTCTTGGAGAGAAAGATCATTACTTGCTTAATTCCTTTTAGGATATGTTGTGTTGAATATGCAAAGTCAGTGAGACATTCAGGAGAGAGGTTGCATTGGCAGTTAGCAAAATGGGTCTGGAGCTTGGAAGTTGATGGCTAGATATGTATCTTTGGGAGTTACTGACCGATGGGTGGTAATTGACGCAATCCAGGTGGGAGGGATCACCTTGGTAAGAAGGGTGAGCTGAGTGCCCAAGCTGCACTCTAGAGGAATACCAAATGGTTAAGGCTCCCTTGCAGTGGAGGAGCTGGTACAGGAGACTTTGAGGAGGAATAGCCAGAGAGATAGGACGGACAGGTGAGGGTGTTGTGTCAGGAAGCTAAGGAAAGCCTCCATGGGGATGGGGTCAGGTAGGTGCACTGAGTGCAGCATAGAGATTAAGTGAGGTGATTGACAGTGACCACTGGTTGTTAAGACAAGGCAGACACTGGTAATTTCACTTACTGGAGTAGCGGCAGAAGCCAAAAGCTAGATGAGAGTAAGCTGGAAATGTATTCACTTTTGTCTTAGGCAGTTCGGGCTGCCATAACAAAATGCTATAGCCTGGGTGGCTTAAACAACAAACATTTATTTCTTGTAATTCTGGAGGCTGGAAATCTGAGATTGGAGTGTCAGCAGTGTCAGGTTCTTGGTGCGTGCCTTCTTGGCTCGTAGCTGGCCACCTTCCTGCTATATCCTTACTTGGTAGAGAGAGAGGGAAGTCTGTGTCTCATCTTTTTAGACAGGAACTCATCCCATCATGAGATCCCAACCCTCATGACTCTAATTACCTCCCAGAGGCACAATCTATCTACAGTGTCACACTGGGGATTAAGGGTTTAACATACACATTTTGCAAGGGGCACAAACAATCCATAGCAACTTTTTCAGCTTATCTGGCTGTAAAGGTAAAGAGAAAGAAAGTGAAAAGTGCAGGGAGACCCAGAGGCCAAGGAAAGTATTTTGTGTTGGAATAGACCTGAGCATTTTTAAATGCTGGTGTGAAGGGGCTGGTAGCAAGGAGAAGTGAAAGAACACCAGAAGCGTGATTATCCCAGATATGTACTTTAGGGGATGGGTTCCAGAACACGCGTGTCAGGATAGCATTTGTCAGGAGAAGGGAACTGGGAGAGGATGGAGTTAGGCACACATGGGTTTGTAGACATGGTAGAGAAAGTTGAGGGGGTTCTCTTCTGACTGTGTTTCCATGAGGTAGGAGGTAAGGTTGTTTGTTGAGTGTGAAGAGGGAATGGAATGTGGGGAAGAAGGTACAGGTTTATAGTAGTTGTGGAGGGTAGTTAGGAGAGTGAGCTGGCTGCAGAGGCATGCCAGGGGGATATCTTGGCCGAATCAAATGACTGTGAATTTCCAAAAGCGCTAGTCAACCTAGTTGGGTATTTTTCTACGGTTCTACTTTCTGGTTATCTTCCAGAAAACACATTTTTGTATTTCAAGGTTGGGGGTTGCCAGGTCCTTTGGACTGAAATAGAGAGGGGCAGCAGAATTGAGGGTATTGAAAAACAGATCACTGAGGTGCAGGACCGTGGGGTCTCTGCTGAGTGGGTGGGAAGTGAAGACAGAAAGATGCTGGTGCAGGTGTGCATGGACCTCACATGTGAGCTCAAGATGAGGGGGAACTTGAGCAGGGACAGGACAGTGAATGGTTGAACAATGGGATGCTGAATTTGTCAGTTTGGAAGTGGAGCAGCTTTAAGGAATGACAAGGTCGAGGGACTGACCATGGCAATGGGTTACGTGGCCAAGACAGGAAGATGACTATTGGCTCTGAAGAGTTTCAGATATCATCGAGAACCCCGTATTAAATGGGTAGACTGTTCCAGCGGCCTGGCTAAAAGGTCTGTTAATTGCTTGTCAAAGTGATCAGGCATTAATGAAACCCTGTTTACGCAGTGAGGTGGGTTTTTTTCGCTTGTTTGTTTCTGTTTTTAACTTTCCTCTTTCTCTTTTCTCTAACATAGCCATAGAATGTCGTTCCACCCAGGACGTGGATGTCCTCGAGGACGAGGAGGACATGGAGCCAGACCCTCAGCACCAGCCTTCAGACCCCAAAATCTGAGACTGCTTCACCCTCAGCAGCCTCCGGTGCAATATCAATATGAACCTCCAAGTGCCCCTTCCACTACTTTCTCGAACTCTCCAGCCCCCAGTTTTCTGCCTCCACGACCAGACTTTGTACCCTTCCCTCCACCCATGCCTCCCTCAGCACAAGGCCCTCTTCCCCCCTGTCCAGTCAGGCCTCCTTTCCCCAACCACCAGATGAGGCACCCCTTCCCAGTTCCTCCCTGCTTTCCTCCCATGCCTCCCCCCATGCCCTGTCCCAATAACCCGCCTGTCCCTGGAGCACCTCCCGGGCAAGGCACTTTCCCCTTCATGATGCCACCACCTTCCATGCCTCACCCTCCGCCCCCTCCGGCCATGCCACAGCAGATTAATTATCAGTACCCTCCAGGATACTCACATCACAACTTCCCACCTCCCAATTTTAGTAGTTTCCAGAACAACCCAAGTTCTTTCTTGCCCAGTGCCAATAACAGCAGTAGTCCTCATTTCAGGCATCTCCCTCCTTACCCACTCCCAAAAGCTCCCAGTGAAAGAAGGTCCCCAGAAAGGCTCAAACACTATGATGATCACCGGCACCGAGATCACAGTCATGGGCGAGGGGAGCGGCATCGGTCCCTAGATCGGCGGGAGAGAGGCCGCAGTCCTGACAGGAGAAGGCAAGATACCCGCTACAGATCTGACTATGAACGGGGGAGAACGCCGTCCCGCCACCGCAGCTATGAGCGCAGCAGGTAACCTGGATGTGGGGACTTCTCTAGTGAACTGCAGAGGCCCAGACACAGTCCATTTCCACTAATGTCAAACCAAACCAAAAGGGTCCAGGAGTGTATTTTGACTCATAAAAGGAAAGAGAGCATGTTTTTGAGAGGAAGAGGCACCTGGCAAGTAAATAAATTGATACCAGAAAAAGCCACTTTTGAAAAACATTCCAGCATTATCTATGTAGATTCATCTCAGGGAAGCCTTTTACTCTTCTTTCTTAACAGTTAATATTTTAATGATGATCCTGTGACATAAAAGAGCTTGTATTTTTTGTTTTATCATGAATTTTGTTCAGTGTGATTTTCATACCAGGTTATAGCCTTTGAGTTGTTTTGGAATTATGTTCTGCATCTGGTATCCATGGAGAGTCAAACTAACTACTTAACAGGCAACACTTTCTGATTTTTAGGATAAGTGGAAGTTCATTGTATGTTGTTGCCTTCTTTGTTTCTCTGAAAAAGGAAATGATGTGGGTTATACATGATCAAAGCTAGAGTTTTCAGACTAGCTTCTAACCAGATTTGTTGCATTGACACGTATTCATACTGAGGAAAGTTGTGTTTAAAAAATACTGTTCCATTCTAGACTGTACCACTTTTTTTTTTTTTTTTTT